TTCTCGCATTTTTCTCAATCGCTCCTCAAATTCTAAGACGGTTCGGCGGACATTGATGCGAAGACTGTCAACAACCGCAATCCACTAGCTTTGGCTGCCAAGCGCATCGGAAGTACCACCGCAGTGATCGTGGCCTTCGATGGACATCGTGTGCCCAATTTTGTGCGATGCAGATCGGCGCTACTTCAATGTACACTATACCGTTGACAGATAGATATTTGCTACGCCTGCGGTCGGTTCGGCCATCGAGTGGACGTGTGCCCGAACCATGGAGACGTTACCTGCAGAGGCTGCAGCGTGCCGAACCCCGAAAAAGAACACCGCTGCACACCAACATGCAGGCTTTGCGGAGGAGCCCACCTCACTGTCGACAGGGAATGTAAAGAACGCTACCACATTCCATACGTGGTGCGTCGACGACGATAGGAGCGAGCACATTCGACGCGACACAGCAGTTACGAAGCAATGAACGAGTTCAACGCAACCGCTGACGACGACCAGGCCTCGAAGCTTTCTACAGACGGTCGATCCGATGGCAGCCGATCCCTGTCCCGATCCTGAAGTCGTCCCAGGAACCGCACCATGCGTGTATCGAGGTCTCGGAGCCACCCTCGGACCCATTCCCGCAGCGCGCGAAGTGGGACCCCAACCAGATCCATATCGCGAGGCTACTCCAGGTCTCGTTCTGGTTCACGTCATGGTTCCCGTTCAGGTTCCCGGCCCGGGTCACGCTCCAGCTCCCACTCTGGTTCCAGGCGTCACGTCGGTTCCAGGCCTCACCCCAATCTTACCGGGGTCTCGCGTCAACGATCGCCTAGCCCATCGGCACCACCATCGCCAGGTAAAGCCAACACGAATAAGCGGGGACCTCTCACTTGGGCGGACGCCGTCCGAAGAAAAGGAAACACTACATCACAGGTAGGGTCGGGTTCACTCCCAGAGCATGATACACACACCACATCTGAGATAGCGATTTTAAAGCACGAAAATGCGATGATGAAAGAAACAATACGCAAACTCACAGTCGCAGTTGCCGAACTAAAAACTGACAGAAACGCACGCGCTGCTACGCCCACAACCGACAACGACGACAATGCAGTCACCCCGTTGCAGCCGCAACCAGTAGACGCCGGTAACGACGGCGGCGAGAGCACACCCAAGAAACGCGCGGTCGCCCACGACCAGCCAGCTTTAAAGGCAGAGTTAGACGACATTAAGAGCACGCTATCGGCGATTAAGGCAAGCCTTCGCTTTCTTGGCGAAAGCACGGCTCTCGTGCAGTCTACCCTCACTGCACACGGTAATCGTTTGCGTCAAGTGGAGCAATATCTTCATCACGTCGTCGCCCCTGCCGTTGCCGCGTGTAAGCCATTGTCGCAACGTACAGCCGTGCCCAGTCCACCGCATCACGCGGCCTTTACGCACCCGCCGGGTGCTCAGGCCGACTCCTAAGTGCTTCAAGATGGCCAGGCCAATTCACGAGTTGCGAATCTGGCAATGGAACTGCAGGAGCTTTACCCACAAGAAAGCTTTCCTGCAGCAATACCTCCGAAGCCACGAAGCCAAACCTCACAGCATGCTATTACAAGAGACTGTAGTACCAACCGCCACGTTTTCCGGATACCAGTGGTTGCCCGGCCCCTCGGGAGGACAGTATCACCACTCCAACGTACAAATTCCTCGAGATTGGCGTACATAACACGCTAGAAGAGATCGCCGAAGCTCAGGAACGCGTGCAATTGACCCGACTCACTACCTCCAAGGCGGGCCACCATATTCTGCGTGAGCTCGGCTTCTTCTCCTCGAGGGCCAGGGACCCCCCAGAGTTGACTCTTAATTCCCCGTGAAATCCGCGACTTTATCATGATCGCTCCCATTCCACGAAATGTACACCCCGAATACAACAGAGGCACGTGCTTTGCGCGGGCGACCGCCATTCTCAAGCGCATAGACATGGAAGCGGACAACGTCTCGTTCGTGGACGCCGCTGCCTATCGCAACAACCGAGCCTTCGCCGTGGTCGCGGTATCATCCACGCAGCAGACTCTTAACTCTGCCACAATCCTCACCCGAAACCCCGAAGTAGCGGAGCAAGTAGCTATAGCTATAGCTATGTTCGACAGCAAACGGGAATTCATCTACAGCGACTCCAGGTCGGCCATCAAAGCCTTCGAACGCGGAGTCATCTCCGACCAGGCGTTACGTATCCTGCACAATGCAGACCCGACTGCCCTGAAGCACAACAATGTCATCTGGTTCCCCGCCCATCTCGGCCAGGTGCCGGGTGCTCTATCCAACCTCAACGAGATCGCCCATCATGCAGCGCGCGCACTTACCGACCGCACTGCCACAGGGCAACCTCGTCTTGCTGGGGTAGATACCAATCGGGATGCACCAATTACGTACAATGAAATTACAAAGCACTTTTACCTGGAACGCCGTATTTTTCCACCCCCCCCCCCATCCGAAACTTAACCGACCGCAGGCATTAAGCCTACGCCTTTTACAGACACAAACGTGCCCAAACCTTGCCACGCTTGACGTTTATTATCCCGATGCATACCCCAGCGACACATGCCCATCATGTGGACACACAGCGACACTCGCACATATGCTCTGGGAGTGTAGAACAACTCCCGACTCTACCTCAAGCAAGTGGGAGAGGTCCCTCAGGAGCTCACTTCTCGCCGACCAGCTATGGGCCATCCAGCAGGCCCACGAAGCGGCCGCCAGGTACTCCCTGTCGGTCCCTACGTGGGAGACGCCCGCTACGCGCTAAGCGCGTCCTGCAGTACTGAAATAAAGTTTTTTCATTCATTCATTCCTCAAATTCTATCTTGCTGCTAGCTTTCCTGCACTGAAAGGGTGTCCATCTCATGTCTCCCTGTACCCCTTGATTTGGGGTATTCCCGTGTGCTCCCAAAGCAAGTCTACCTACGTCACGTTGTTTAATATCCAATCTTGCTTGAACTTCTGATTTCATGCACAAGACCGCATTGCCGAACGGCAAACCTGCGACCATGACACCTTTCCGAATTCCTCTCACAACGTCAAGCCTATTGTAGTTCCTCAGTGCCCTATTTTTCATTACAGCTGCATTCCTGGTGCCCTTAGTCATAACGTATCTTTGATGCGCCCGTAGATACTCAGCCCCGTTATTCATCCATACGCCCAAGTATTTGTATATATCCATTATTTCTAGCGTGACTTCCTGTATCTTATGCTCACTGCCTTTGTTATCATTAAATCAGTGGACTGCAGCGCCACGTAACGGCGAACAGCAAAGTGTGTCCATATTGTGGCCGCTCAGGCGCGCGCAGTGTCAGCACCTGCATTTTCTTGCCCCGTCAAATAAAGGGGAAACAGCGATGCCATTCCTTCTAAATCCTGCACTCCATCGTGCAGTTTTCTTTCTTCTTTACCACTTCATGTTTTTGAAAGAGCCGCAGTCTTAAGCTGTGGTAGCGACAGCCCTTATTGGTAGCCATCGTCATTCACTGAAACGTCTCAACAAATTCTGGATACCAAATAAAAAGCGTATAACAATGATAAACACATTGGGGATGGAAGTATAGACAGCTGAAAAAAGGACACCACTCCGTGGTTTTATTACTGTAGTATTTTTGTTTCGCACTTCTCCGTGGCGCCGTGCCACATGAACGGCATAAAGCTGCTTGCAAGGCGATACCGCGTTTCCTTTCATGAAAATGACGACTTTACTTAGATTTAGGTGCACGTGTAAGAAGCCCATGTGGCTGAAACTTCTGGAGCACTCTATTATGGCGTATCTCATGATCATTTCACGGTTTTCGGAAGTTAAACCGCAACAATTACTATTAGTGTATCACATAGCTCTTTTTTTTTGCTAGTCGCTCAAAGCGCCCTCATACGACTAGTCAAGAAGCTCAGAGTGGACAAATTGGCTTATCCTCAGTAATTTGGAGTTCCGTGTCTCTACGTTTGGGGCATGGGAGTGGCACGTGAAAAGCAGTATCGCAACTGCGCTATTTAAAGGCGTCATATGCAGTAACTCTAGATGTGTTGACTCTGCCACGCCAGGATTCGAAAGCCTTCTGCACAAAGCGTAGTTTTTACTGCCTCCAATGCACCTCAACTCGTTTCGCGTCGCCTTCAAGATCGGAATGCCCCACCGTGGTGTTCAAGTGGCTAAGGTACTCGGCTGCTGACCCGCAGGTCGCGGGATCAAATCCAGGCTGCGGCGGCTGCATTTACGATGGAGGCGGAAATGTTGTAGGCCTGTGTGCTCAGATTTGGGTGCACGTTAAGGAACCCCAGGTGGTCGAAATTCACGGATCTCTCCACTACGGCGCCTCTCATATTCATATGGTGGTTTTGGGACGTTAAACCCCACATATCAATCAATCAAGATCGGAATCTCCTCGACCAAGTTACATCACGTGATGACGTAATGAAGTGTTGTCACGATGACGTCACAAATTTTAGTGATCTGTGACGCCATCACATGCTGACTCTTCTTCCGTCCCGGCATTCCGGTGCTGCCGATGCGGAACGCCAACGGTCTAAATTCCCGCTTTATGAGACATTTAAGGATTTTATCTAAAAACATTTTGAGCAACAATTACGGAAGACGATTTCGCAATAATATTTGTTTTATTTGCTATAATGCTCTTTTTTTAAGGAGCGCACTTTTTTCGACAACCTTCATGAATAAAATTGTTTCTTTACACCTATAGCACATGCTCACGTAGGTGCTGGCGGGCATGACACTGGCGAAATTCTGGCGTAGAGTGGTCTTGCACAGATACACGACGACGAAACGATGCCCGAGGGCAAGTGAAACTATCGCACCATGTGCACAATGATCTGCATCAACCTACCTCCTCTCCAGTGCGCAATGTGCGTTTGCAACAGCTGTCTCAAATATTTTTAAAATAGTCTTTTGTTATGCCATTATCAAAAAGGGGGCGCTCTATATAGGAAAGAGAACCTAACTTGCAATCGCACTTCGCTATCACTATCCGGAATCTTAACCACTCCCCCAGAAGAACCTTGTGAACCGAAGCTATATACCTGCTGCCTGTTGCCTCGGCTTACAGCATTGCTCTCTGTGAGCCCACTTTCGGCAGAGGGAAATCAGACAGCTGCAGAGGCGAGATGTTGCGCAACCTTACCACGCTTGTGCTGCTATGCGCCGCAGTAATCGGCATCCGACGTACGAACTTCTTTGAAGACTGCCACGACATGCCGGAGGGCGGACCACAGCCGGGCAATTGCTACTTCTTGACGGAGCGAGAGTTGCGTAACGATGACATGTACCGGGCGATTGCAGGCTTAACCATGCGAAGATACACCTACGATCCGCCGGGCAAGTTTCTGCAGACAGTCTACGGAGTGACACGCGGCGCATTTGTTGTGAGTGGGGCGCTTTTCTTGCGATGCGTTCGCGGCCTAAGGAACATTGGAGGCTTTTAACAAGCTACGGAAACGCGTCACGAAATTGCGTAAGTAAAAAACCGGATGAAGAGTTCGCATGCGCGGAAAGGAACCGTGTCGTATTTCCGTAACGTGTTTACGTAGCTTGCTAATAGCCTCTATTAGGGAGTTTTCGAATAGGGGCCCCAAAGCACTTTGCGTATGCTCGCTTGGGGTGACAATTCGACAGGGGAAGTGGCCCAAAGCGTGTGCACTCTTTGGGCCACTCCCTCTGTCATCCCCCTATTCCAGGTGAGCCGTCAATTCAGTGGGTTACGTCTGGTTTACCTGACGCATAGCTTCTGGGGTAGGCTTTGAGGCACCTATTTGAAAACTCCCAATTTTTATTACACCGTCATTGCGTCACGTGGCAACATGCATATGTTCTTTGAATAACATGGCAGTTTTTACGATTGTGATTGATTTGGCTACTTTTAATTCCCATGAGTCAAACTTGCTGTTTGGCTAGGTCTCCTTATTTCTTGACTATTTTGTGGTTTCGTTTATTCACTGTTTATTCAGACCCCGAACATCCCCAGTGTTCGTACCGTGTTGTAATGTTCCTCGTGAGCTTCGCTTTCTTGACCGCACTGCGTTACCAAGTGAGCCGCGAATAAACCCCGTATTGAGAAACGCTCCTCGACTTGCCATCGTCTTTATTGCCGTTCGTTTGAAACGTTTGTGCTGCCTTAGCAGTGCGTTCCAACCACGTTTTTGCTGCATCGAAGGCGTTTGCAAGTTAAATTCAAGTCAAAAAGCGTTTCCAATACGGGGTTGTACGTACTATTCGCAACATTCACAGATGGTGGCGTCGCCGTGTGGCATCCGTCATAACGATAGTTTGGGGATGTACACGCAGCCAGCCCATACCATCGTTCAGTCGGCCTAACTTTGGCGGCTTGCTGGTGGTTTATATTTTGTCGCTGGCAATTTCTACTACGGTTATTGTGAAGTTGGACAGTTACTGCGAGTCGTACTAGCAATGATTTATTCTTTGTTTGCTTGCTGAGCTAGAAGAATCGCAAAATATGTTGGACGCCGCTGTGCAGACGCCGTGCAGTCAAGGGCGAGGTTTCCTGCTTAGCACGAGCACGGCCGCTTGGTCTTACCTGGCCGTGGCACGAGCAGCGTTCACATAGCTGTACACCGCAGCAGACAATGTGCCCGGCGTTCGAAACCTTTTTTGCTTTCAATATACGCCGCACACGTGTTTCTCAACACGCAGCGTGGTATATAATACATGCTAGAGTCAATGACCTTCTCAGCAAAGCCTTAACAACATGGTGGCTGCAGCCGAAAACACTACACAGGTCGAAGACACGGGCACACCGGTGGCGGCTGCCGGCGCGCCGGCTGCACGATTCCCCAAACGACCGCCATGTTGGGCTTGCACCAGCGCCCTCTCTAGGCGGTGAAAGTTGCGAATGCCGCAAGCAACGTGAAACGAAACGCGCATTACGGATAGCCTCCAACCGAACGGTGTGTGTATATAGTGTTTAACGATTCAGAGTACTTTGTACTCTACTTTAGGAGGACCATAAAGCTATCCCATGGGCCTCACACTTCAATGAGACACTTCAATCTTTGCAAGGGTTAACTCGAGTAAATGCGTGGCATGAGGGGGGGGGGGGGTACCGCTTGAGTGTTTCGTAATTGATTATGGTTTGGGAGTGCTTAATTGTTATTTCGTCATTAATATTCTCATTTATTGATGAAGAAGCGTTGCCTTCAACGTGTGATGAGACGCTGATGTGCGATCCAGTGCCTACATACGTGGGTTGGCCAATGAACGGTTGTGCAGCTTGAGCAGTCGGTATTTACTAGCCGACACTGCCTGTGTCGGCCTTGCGAGGCGAGAAAGAGAGAACGCTGGAGGAACGACCGTTAGCATGAGACTCAAGATGCGAGCGTGCGCAGTGGGTTTGCAGACGCCGCCGATAAGGGCGCATTCGCGAGTACGACTATAAAATGCCCCGCATTAAAAATAGTGTTCGGAAAAAGTTCTTATCAATTTAGAGCACCAGGTCCTCTACTACGGGAGAGCACAAAGCCGTTCCGTGGGCCTCACAATTGATGAGCCCGTGGCGACAATTACACCGTGAACAAGCTCAAACCTTATTGGGACATGCCCAGAGGCAGAAGAATGCTAATCTAGCGCGCTTTCTTAAGCACTCGACGCTATCGAATGTGTGCTTTAAAAAAAGGGGTTCGCTATTTAGAGTACTTCTTACTCTACTGTGGGTGCCAAGAGATTTTCGGTCACCGTTGTTGAGAGTTCAGAATGAATAGGGCACCGCAGTTCCACTAAATGTCCGCACGCCCACCCCGCTGTTGCTGGCAATCTTCAGCTGGGGCCGTACAGCACGACACTATCAAACAACGAAAACAGACATTTGTCAAAATGTTGCCTTTAGTGCGCACGGATTGGCTTTTCAGCGAAGCCAAAAAAGTGAGTGCCATCTTTCATTTCTGGCAAAGTGACACTGTCACACGCACACACACACACACGTGTTATAGTTGGTTGGTGGTGAAATGTAAAATTTCGGCGATAGCGATAACATGACTTAAGCTTCCAGTTTTCAACCTTTGGTGGATGCGCGAAGTATTCTTCGGCGCCAAAGTTTCCATCGAGCATTAACTTGATGTGTGTATTCAATAATCGTTTTGCTGCTGGTGGTGAAAAACATTTATTTATCTAAGTTATGTACAGGGAGAGTGGGGAGTTGTCCTTAAGGGGCCACCCCGTACAAAAACTAAGTAGGCTCCCCCTTGCGGGATCCGATTGGCGTCGGCCGTGGTCCTGGCTCGCTCAACCAAGACTCTAGCGGGTGTTTTTTTTTAATGCGGAACAATTCAAAGTGCCATCCAAGTATTGGTTGAAATTCGCTCGCGTATTCCAAATTATATGGCTCGACTTAGCTTGCTCTTAGCAGGAGTATCAGTGAGATGCCCTCACTATGAGGGCCAGTATTTGTGTTAAGAACAAATGTTCGACTATTTACAGTACGATGTGCACTATCAAAGAGTGATCAGCGATCCTAGTGTACAGTGAGTACGCTTTCTGCACTTCGATGCGTGTTTAGAAAGTGTTTCACAACTTACAACCCTTAAGCGCCGCCGTGGTGGTCTAGTGGCGAAGGTACTCGGACGCTGACTTGCAGGTCACTGCTACTGACTTGCTGTAGGCCCGTGTGCAGAGATTTGGATGGACGTTAAAGAACCCCAAGTGGTCGAAATTGCCGGAGCCCTCCCTTACGGCGTCTCTCATAATGAAATGGTGGTTTTGGGACGTGAAACCCCACATATCAAGCACCTTAAAGTACTTAACCCACTACTATGAGAGGGCAGAGAGCTGTCCCTGGAGGCCTGAACCTGCATAAGTTGTGCATTCAGTGCTCTTGAGACGGAATTATTTGTCGTGGTTTCCGACAGAACCTGCACAGCTGCTATACGTTGTGAGCTGATGAGCGAAGGCCACTCTCAATTACCTCTTGCGTCTCACTTCATTTCAAAACTGCCAAACATGTTTTTAAAACGCCGATGACCAACACGGAACGCATGGTATTGCATATCGCGCAGTACGATACAGACCTCCAGCATTGCTTCTTCGCTCCTGAAAAAACTGCGTAGCACTTATGGTTGTAGTGGTTTGTGCAAAAAATTGCAGCCGATAGTGCAACACAGCATCGGCGTGCACACCTTCTACACAGTTAAACTGCGCGCATGCCTCGGATAGTGTGAGATAGGCCACGTACTCGGTTCTTAGTGTAGCCACGGGACGGTTTTAAGCTCTCCCATAGTAGAATAACTAGTACTCTAAATCGTTAGACTTTCTTGAAACACTCATTTTTCGGATAGCACATGGGACGGCTTCTAGCTGTCCCGTAGTACGGTACAAAGTACTGTAAATAGATCACCAGTCTTTCTTTCCTAAACACATTTCTGTTACGTTTAGTCGACTTTTTGTCAACAGGGCCTCACGGAGTGCGAGGCCCACGGGACGGCTTTGTACCCTCCCATAGAGTCTTGGTCCAGTACCTAGTGCTCTAAATGATTATCTCCTTTATCTAAACGCATGCTTCGGATAGCACGTGGAACGGCCTACAGCTCTTCCATAGTAGAGTACCAAGTACTGTGAATAGTTAACCACTTCTCCTAAACACATGCTTGCGTGTTCAGCCGCGTGCTCGCTTGACAAAAGCGCCGAGGCATGAATACAGCTTTTGTGGGCTTTCCCTGCGGTTTCATTGGGAAGGTTGTCTTGTAGGCTTGGCAGCCGCTGAAGTACGTCTCATCTTTTGTCGGTGTCATGTTGGCGTTTCTCGCAGCCTGGTTCAATCTGTCCGCAGACTTCAGGTTGACTAACTGACAACGCACTGTATTGCCGCTATTGAGTCGCCGAAGAAAGTCCTTCATATCGGGTCGTGGTATATATCTGACGGTCTCTTCAAGGCAACAAGGTCTGAATAGGTTGGTGTTGTCGCGTAATATCTTACATCAAATGTTGACATATCGTGATGAGATGGCAACTGCTACAAGCGTGCAGGACTTAAAAGATCTTCTTAAATGGCATCTCGAAACGTTCAAACAACGGCTCAAAGCTCCATTCAGCCTAGTACATGGCGAGGTGGCCAGGTGCGTTTTGCAAACTGTCGTATAGTGCCACGTGTCTTCGTCTCTGCCTCTCGTACTCAGTGTTGCCGCTGGGCAGATTTGAAAAGGAGCCAAATCTGAAGCTAGAAATTGGCAAAGTAACGATGATCAATAACTAAAAAAGTGACTTGTATAAGTGTTTTAGTATTCAGCACTAAACCACTTTGAAAAAGTAGAAACAGTAGAATAAGCTCAATATTTTCGCTGTTTCTTGGATGTGTTACGTGGATTATTGTGAATGTACAAATAAGCTGACAAATGTTTACCGCACTTGGTCGGGCAGATAATTTATAATTGGAAATTTTGTTTTTTTGGGCATACGTTTTTTAAAACCCCAGGTCATCATTTTCAGGAGCCCTCCACTACGGCGTCTCTCATAATCATATGGTGGTTTTAGGACGTTAAACCTCGCATATCATTATAATTGGATATTGTTCATTAAACGCGGGCGGGGCCCGAGAGTTGGGTTCAGCACTCGCGATCCGTGACGTAACAAGCTGGCTTTGCGAACGTCTGCATTCCGGTGAACGATATTGTTTTCTTGGCCAGTTTCACGTGATACCGATATAGTGCAACTTTTTTTGTTTGCTTGGCACTGAAACTGATGACGGTTTGCGGTGTCTGAAACTGCGCTAGAAGACGACTGCTGCACTGCTTCCAGCCCACGACATCACACGTGCCATGGTAATGCAGCCGCTGAGGTGGGGTTCTCGTAAATATTTTTCGGGACCACTTTTTCATCTGTGCAGGTGTAATAGACACGTTACATCTAGTTTTTACTGAAAACGCACAAACTATTGGCTGACCGTGTCATGGCCTGCGTCAGACCCGAGTGCTGTGCTGAGGATCACATGTCTCGCACTGTTCCAGTATTCCCCAGACAAGTCGCCAAAGGGCTTCTACATCGTGGAGTTCCTCACATCCAAAAGCAACTGCTCGTCTCTCGGCCCCTACTCTCCTACTCAGTGCCAGTCGACATCGAGATGGGTAAGTGCACCTCTCTCAACACGAATCGTGGGTCCTTCAATAAGGGAATTGAAAGCTATAGTTCAAGGTTCATTTTTAACAGCTTATACCGCACTAGACAGACGAGGATGAAGTTCGAGGAAGCTGATGGTGCGAACGCAGCCTCGGAACTACCGTTTTATTAAACACGAAAAAATACGAAGGCAGACGAAGGTTCCTCGGGAGTGCTTGTGCGTGGGCAGCCGAGTCGTTCAAGTTATGCAGACATTCCAGGAGGCGTGCAACGTGCGCGTGCGTTCTGAAACAACCAATGAAAGAAGCAAACAAGTGTATAAGTAACTAACATAAAAGTCCAAAGAACATTTCTCCGTTTTAATTCAGGTGCAAAACAAATTTCAACTGCGTTTCGCTATGAGGAATAGACGGACGACTTATGCACCTCTCCCCCTCGTACAGCGCAGCATACTTACAAAATCACTCTCGCCACCCTTGTACTACAGACAGCTGGAAAAAAAGTACCGGCCTGGCTTTAATAAATGTCGCAAATGTCTGTGTGCACGTTTCCAGAAATTCTCACGTTGTACTCCCCCAGGATTTCAGCCCCAACGAAGTATTCGAAATCTTTTTTTCGCGAAAGCGCTTTCCGCCACGCGATAATAGGGAGCTTTAGAATAGCGCACCACGAGCCCTTGCGGTGCGGTCGCTGCCACTACACATGCGTCACTACGCGAGTCGGCGTTCGCGCACCGCACGCAAAAAAATCCGGAATTGCGTGTGGTGATGGCGTCCCGCATGTGGCCCGCAACCGCTGGTTTCGAGGCTATGCTGTCACTGCGATCGTGCGTTGTGGTTCGCAGCAGGGCAAACGCTATTCTAAAACTCGTATGGCGCCCGCTACGCTTGCAGCGGTTGCAAACGGTATTCTAAAGCTCCCTAATGAATCATGGCTCGTTTCCCCATTCTCGGCTTTGTCGAACATGCATCCCGCTTGGTTTTGCGCATGCATGAAAACTCGCGCCTGGCCGAGAAGTAGAGACCGCATCATGCGTTCTTTTGACCATGCAAGGGCCGAACAAAACGATTACCGTGACCGCGCGCTTCGGGAATCATCCTTTGCAGCCAGGTGCAAATAAAGGTATTATATTCATATGCCTACAGACTCGCGAAGGACATCGTCCTACTTATTGAACATTTTAACTCTCATTGCGGGAGCAAAGTAGTTGCGGGTACACGGACGTTCAAAAGAAAAAAAAAAAACATTTGCCCCGTCTCTGCATGTTACACCGCAATTGTCGTCGAAATCTTGTGTCTGCAGAGAGTGAACAAAACGTTTATTTGATGTTCTGCGCAAGAAAAACGGTGAATGGTATTCTGGAGGCGCTGCGTTAGTGCTTCGAGCGTGCAGCGGAGGCGAACGAGCGCACCAAGTCACGTCACATGTGATACAAGAGCCCTATCTGGCAGTTATCCTGGCAAACGAGGCGCGTGCTGTGCGCGCCTACATCAAAGGTGACAAAGTGTAGAACGCAAGGCGACGAGTAGGTCCCACCACCGTCTCGTCGTAGCAAAGCGTTGGAAACGCCTGCAGTTTCGTGCAAGCGTTGCATAGCCAACACAGCGTTATAAAGGCTACGTTCCTCAAGATTACTTGTGTATGCCTTTTCTAGTAAAATATGCATGCATATTATTGACGTGTTTCGGTAACTCAGATATGAGCAATAATTGCTTTTTAATTGACAATCGCAGAAGTATTAACGCTGAACCTTGAGAAATATTGGTGGGCGCTGTGGATGGAGTCGGCCGTTTAGAGTATCGTTTGGTCACTTTGGTGCCGTTTATATAGGGTACCGTTAAGGGTGACCAAAATTTTTGCATCGTAGGTCCCCAAGAAAGACTATCGTTTTTTAAAAGTGACTGCTCAGTGAGCTGCACATTTGAGAATGAACGTTTAGAGCTTTTTTTCTGATATCAGTTTTATGAAGTATATCGCAAATCGCTCTATTGAATCTCGGCTGCGGCGGCTGCATTTTCGATGGAGGCGAATATGCTGTAGGCCCGTGTGCTCCGATTTGGGTGCGCGTTAAAGAACCCCCGGTGGTTCTTTAACGTGCACGACGTCTCTCATTTTCATATAGTGGTTTTTAACTACGACGTCTCTCATAATTATATGGTGGTTTTGGGACGTTAATCCCCACATATCAATTGATCAGTCAAGTATATCGCTGTTGCGATGTTTTGGAACAACTAATTCACAATAAGGCCCACTCGAAGGCGTCCGGCACTGCGGCATAGAGCGGTAAAAAAAAAAAAAACTCTAGTCTAGATAATGAACAGCCTTGGGGTTGAGGCTGTTCATTATATATGGTGGTCTCGGGACGTTAAACCCCACAGATCAAATTAAAAGCTCAAGGTAAAACGTCCAGTGTCATCTCCACGCCGTTGCTTACCAGCCGCGTCCACTGACACAGTCCACACAGCTGCCGCGCCGAGTTTTCCAGCGAGGCTCGAGTAGATTACGAGCGATAAGCCCGCGCTTCTACAGGGCGTGCCACAGCACGTCTTGTACGTTAGTTGTCCTTGTGCTGGAGTTTGCATACATGCATGATCTGTAACAGTGGTTCGGCTCTATACTGTCTACGCCAAAGAAAAACATAGCATCAGCCGCTGCGGCCTTGTTATGCTGCCAAGATCAACCAGCTTCGCTGTTAAACTTTGCAAGGCTAGTGTACACTTCTTCCCCAAGATTTGTTTCCCCAAGATTTTTTTAATTTCACCCCTCGATCTATGTCTATGGCAGCACTGGAACTCTGTCATTTTGAAATTGCGGATGAACACACGTCATAATATGGACTCAAAATACGTGGGGTGTTAGGGGCATGGAGCTGTGGAAAGAGAAATGCTTCAGTATATCCAGAATTTTTCTATATCGAGTTAAATCATGTATGCTCCACCACTTTTATCGGGTTAGGTTGACCTACGGCGTCAGTACGCACTGAATAATTGTGCAACTATTTTCCTTCACTAATTCAAAAAAAGATCTACGATTGGGACCGTATATTTATCGCGGCAAGCCAGACAGCCCAGTGTGTCAATTATACCGCTCGCCGAAGGTGGCGTGGACGAGCCGCTAGTAGCGTACCGAGGTTTTATATCAGTGTGTTTGCTCTGCCCAAACTTCGACTCATTGATATATATATATATATATATATATATATATATATATATATATATATATATATATCGATTGTTACCGTTCTCATGGAGGATCTACTTGACTATGTATTGCTCGTTTATATATGTATTTTTTCAGGTGGACGGGTTATGCCAGGCCATGTTCCGTTCGTCGGACGATGGCATTGCTACTCACCATGATTCCTGGTGCACAGTCATACACTAGGTACGTTTTGATTTATTCAGTACAAAATACTCAATGGAAAACTTGCACACAAGCCAATTTTCACTAAAATATACAATAATAATATAATGTCACTTTTTTCAAAGACCACTCAATAAGTCTGACTCAGTGATTTTTGGAGTTAGGGAGTTGAAGGGACTCGGAAAACTATTTTTGGGATTGTGGTGCAAACATCATCACATCGGCGGCAACGAGCATGCCTTTGTCAGATAGATAAGCGCGTTTTATTATTCGGTTGATGTCGACAAAAAAAAAAAATGACCGCTAGCGTCAGCCAACAGCCATGTGGTCAATCTGTTAGCGGGACAAGAAATCTCGGCAAGGTTATCTCTTTTGCTCGAAAGAGAAGCGTATAACTTAAATATGTATTTTTCGCACTTCAGGCAACTTCATAGGTTGCATCAGAGAAACTTTTCCTTTATTTTCTTCACGCGTTCAATAAGGCACGTGGTGGCACTGCCGGAAGTGTTGCCGCTTGCCCGCATGAATGCCTGCACATGGCACACACCATGGCACGCACCCATCGACGCTCATAAGAACGAAAGTATGTGCGGGCCACTAAGGTATTTGCTTCATAAACAAATCTGGATTAATCCTGCCAAAACCGCACGTAGTTTCAGTTTTCGACTTTTACTGGCAGTACAATTGTCGTCGACTTCACCGACCAGTGTTGTGGGCATTCATGCCACAGAAGGGAGATCAAACACAGATCAAAAACTTTTAAAATTTTCTACACACTTTCCAGGACAGTTTTCTTAATTAAATGCATGAAAAGGTGCCGTAGTAGTACTGGGGTACACGTAAGTGGTACTCGTTGTGCGACGAAACTGTCGTTCACTCAGAGGAAGGGGAAAGGGAACCGGAGCGCCTGCCACTGCAATCGCAGCTGCTGGCTTCGCTGTTGGCCATCCTTACATATGAGAAACAGCTTTGCGTGTTCAATGGTGAAACTGCTCTTGGTTGAGACTGTCCCGTACTACGGCGTAGCGCTAGTCACGGGGTATTTCGGCGAGAGTGGGACTCAGTACGAGAGAAAGGGCGACACCCGCCAAGATGGGCGACGCTCAGTGCAAAGGGTGAACCAAGGTGATGCGCCGAAATATGGGTGAGTCTGATGAAGGCGAATCGTCTTCGCCGTTTCGACAGTACGCGGAATGAAGTTTCAGCAGCGCTTCTTTTCCTGCAAAATATTGTAAAAGATGTAGCGCGAGCATATATTTCTTTGCTGTCTCCCTGTGAAAAAAGTGGAAGTGCCGCGGAAGTATCACTATCGCCACTAGGTTGGATTGTAATTGTCGTGAATGCGAACCGATTCTTTATACACATTACGACAAAATCCTCCGGGCTGCACGTTCCGTGTGTCAAAGTTTGTTTTCTTCAGAAATACGATTGCTTGAATTCGTGATGCCAACCTTGCTACATATTCACGAATGTGCTCTGCTACTTTTTTGTTTCTTTCAGGCTAACCAGCCCGTGCAGGAAGATTTCGCGTCTTTGGCCTCCTCAAGACCGTGTGCGCCAGTGGAGAGAGCCGCTGACTTGACAATAAAGTGTTTTAATTACGCACTCAACGTTCTTGTTGTGTTAGCTTATAGAAACGGTGAAGTATGCCGAGGCGCCATTCAGTTAGTAGCGCTGTAGTTTTTTCGTGCTGTTATAGCGATAGTACGTAACATTTTCATGCTATACTATTGTGCAGTAATCCCTGGACGTTGCATTCTATGAACGGCAGTCATTGATTGCGAGGTCAGAAGTACGGTGCCTTCTATCTAAACGCAACACAAGAGCTTTTGCTGTACTTCTCCGCAGGGTATACCCACCTTTTGCCGAGAATTTTGGCAATTTTGTTGAGAACTAGGTGATAAAAACATACACGTCGCTTACATCAATGTCACGTGGAATGAAATCTGAAACCACAGTGAGGATGCTGGCTGCACCGCATGTTGTTGTTAAAATGATGTGCACAATTCACCGCTGTATAGCGACAGACAACCAACAACAAAAAGTTGAAAAGAATTATTGGTCGTTTCGGTATCTATTACTTCGAAAGCCTTATCACCATAGCTGAAAAGGCTTAACGTGTGGTTAGGGTGGCCTAGTAGTCGTTATCTAGTAGTGGTGCATAAGGTTAGAACAGCGGTAAGAAGCCATCGTTTTTATAAGCTTCATTAGTGGTTTGAAATAAACGTAATGCTACCACATACAATAAAATTTTCAGCTGTTGAGAAATCTTTTGGAGCCATGATATGTTACGTCCGAACACGGTCACCTGGCTGCCCGTGGTGCGAAAACGAACGGGTCAATATATATGGCCCGTGTTCTTTGGTGATGCGTAAGAAACGAAGGTAGGCCACGGAACATGACGACGCTAACTCAAGGTACTCCTGAAGCAGAGTGCCCTGCTTAGTGAAGGCAAGCCGGCTTCAGTCAGGCCTCAAAGGCTAGCCTCCATATTTACAAACGCTACTCGACTCGACCTTAATCCTTCACTTGACAGAGTTGAGCACTGCGCCACTGCTCAGTTGAGAATGACACTGCGCTACTCAAGAATCGCAGCAGATTATTGTTATGCAGCGACTTGCCGTGCCTACAGGCGACGCTCTTATAGCCTTTCTCAAGTGAAGGTGAAGCGTTGAGTGAAGGGACGTTCTTGAATACGGGGGTAGATGTGGGCCGTCCAGCAGGGCAGGGCCGTCGCCGAAGACCCTAGAAGATGGCTTTCGAACAGAGGATCTGAGGAACAGAGGATCAACTAACGGGCACATGACCAATGAAATGGCAAACATTTTCATAACTTTCTGCTTCACTGTTGGTATCAGTGCGAGTTTGTCGCACAAAACTAAGATTTTCGCACTGAAGTAAAAGGGATTTTTTTGTAATTTTTGTAAGAATACGCTCGGCAGTTAAATAGGTGTGCTGGACAATAAGAGGCGATGCATAAGTGTACCATAGTGACTTATGCTCTTCATGTGTGACAATGAGCATGGGTCGGTGTGCCTTTCTGCTCATTTGTTGGGCGTTCACTTGTGGACTGAACTATTTCGTTGTCGATGCCGTTATAGCAGGTTGTAGTTGCCGTATACTTTCGGGAAAACTTCCAGAAGCTCCGTACATAGCGCACAAGTTGTGTACGCTTTGATCACCGAGGTAGAAATTTGTTTATTAGATTGATTTACGCGTATTGCCGCTACTTATGAAAGATTTCTACGCCCAGTGGAGAAGCAGTGGTTATGCTGCTCGGCTTTTGATTAGAAGGTCACGGGTTCGAACCCAGCCGTGGTGGTCACATTTCGGTGAAGGTGCAATAGAGGAGGCCCGTGTTGTGTGCGATATCAGTGCATGTCAAAGAACAGTCGGAATTTTCGGAGCCTTGCTCTGCTCCGCTTATCATGATTCATATCGGGGGTTTTTGGACGTAAACGACTATTTTCGAAAATTTCTCTCTCCACTGGAGGAACATCAGAGCGAGTGAGACTTGCGTAATGTCGGTGAATTGTGTTGAAGTCGTAATAACGCATATATAGAGATCCACACGAAGAATTTTGTTGAAGTCGTAATAACGCATATATAGAGATCCACAAGAAGAAAGGTGCAAGAGTGCAAGCGGCACTGATGCGCAATAATTAAAATCACTGGGCACAATCTGCATACTTACTAGTGCATCATCCGTGCTTGCACGCGATGCCTCGAACTATTGAGATCAACTTGTAGAAGTACATGCCTAAAGATAGCAATAGCACTCAAGCTGATGCACGGCCACTTTGATATCAGTTTAAATATCATCCTTAACCATACGATCCCTTCAATAGTACTTTCTAAATAGAGCTAACCTGCTGCCGTCTTTCAATCTTTTTTTAGGGGGGGGGGGTTGGTTGTTTATGCCAGGGGGCTGCAGTGAAGCAATTTAGTTACTTCAAGACAGGGACAGAGAAGAAGGTGAAGACAAAAGCAGAGAGTGCCGCAGGGGTAGGTGGGCAGTTTGCGCAAATTGTCTGGTAACGTCACCTTCTGAAAGAACGCCTTTACCATATTATGTATGGTTCATTTCTTAAGTGTATTTGAAAATAAAACTTTTTTTTACGTTAATCCTTCAGCACATGGGGATCACATGAGGGGCCCCACGAAAAGTGCTTCAGGCCAGTAATGCCTATGCAGCTCATCTGTGTACTCAATGACATTACAAAAAACAGTGTTGCAAGAAGACAGTCATGTGTGGACCGCGAGCCTTAAATAATACGCTCGCGGGCCGGGTTTTTGGGAACCCTGCCCTATGCAGTTTTCGTGCATAAGTAGCGGCGCTTCGCATAAGATCCGGTGCCAGGTACCGAAAACGCGGCGCAAGTTTTAGTTGCAAAGAACATGTACGCTGCGAAGCGGTCGCCGGGCATGCTAAGATCCGGTTAAGCGAAGTCAGGTTGATTGTTTCCAGTTATTGGCTTTCACAAGTTTTCACATATAAAAAAAATTGATACCCCTGTAAAGAACTTCTCTTTTGTTTATCTCTTTTAATATTCCTTATTTCGTGGATTTTAGGCCAGGCGAAGCACGGGAAGTGATTGTCTTGCGTTCGCAGCGCTTGCTTCCGCTCTTTCTCGCCCCTCGCTCAGTGATTTCGGAAGCTGGATCGCGCTCAGTTATCTCGTTCGGTTGGCGTGTCATCTACGGGAAAGATAAAGACAGCAAGTTGTGGAGGGCAGAGAACGAAAGCCGCAGTGAGCTACGCCGAACATGTACACCATGCATTCGTCGAAGATAGTTTATTCGGGCAAGAGATGTTTTCCGCGGCTGTAGGGTGCGCTAACCCGGAGATTTCTAGTTCCACGAAGGTTTTTCAGCATTTCCCGAAAGGCAACCGGTGAGCACAAGAATTCGGACTCATTATTTGAGCAGATATCGATTTTGCATGAGTACATATGATTAAACCCATGCAGTTCTCTGTAAGTATGACTGGACTGACAGAACTGTATTGTCGCTTGAGCGAA